ATAGTACCTATAGGCACTCCAATAATATAGATATATTTTATATATCGTCATACTTACTACATTTTATGATATTTGTGATAAAACGACAATATTATTGTACCGCAGGACCGTTGCCCAATTACTGTACCATKCCGGCGACYATAGGCTTCGAAAAGCACTACATTCTGACCAAACACCGTCTTCCATCTGTGACGATTGGACGGAAACGAGCTAATAGCCCTGGCCACGTCCACGGACCGTTGTACAACCTCAGAGAYCATACCCGTTTCGGAAAACTCTACTAACCGAACTTCGGGTTAGGCAGAAGGAGACCATTGCCACAAGGTAATYAAAAAATATAATACAGTAGGTACATTTATTAAGAGATATAATTGATCACCTATAATATGTATATTAAATTCTAAGCGTCGTATTACTGATACCTAAGTGTACCTATTGATTTTATAGTGCCGACTGGAAACACTTTTTTTAGTAGAAAATAGAATCTATAGTTGCATTGACGTCTCCAGAAATTTTTCTAAGGAGGGGCATAATTTATTAGTTTAAAAAATAAATGAAGATTTTTTTATACATTTTAAAAGTAATCTGTTTTCTAAATTGGCGCGTAACAGATAATGATTTAGAAAACAAATTTAAAATTTTGGGGCGGGGGAGGAAGCAAATACCTCGTATTGCCTTTCTTGAGGATGCCCATGTCTAGTTGGTACATCTGGGAGATCAGAGTTGAAAATTCACTGTGCTTTTTAAATAATCGGTAGGGGCGAGAGAGAATAGGTGGGAAAGTGGTATCGCTCCGCTGTACGGTATAGGTGTCTATAAGGGTAGGTATGTCGCTACAATGAATGAGTTAAATTTGAATTCAATGATTTAAAATCATTGTAAGTATACGAAAAACCTTATTATATTATTATTAAGTAAATAGTAATAAATATGTGAATATATTTGTATCATATTATTATAATAATTATTTATAAATTATGTTATTAAAAAAATCTTGTAAATCTAAATGTTTAAATTTTCTCGAGACAATATTAGAGCTTAGACAAACAATATGTCTTTCCCTCAAAAATATTATTCTCTTTCGATTTTGTAACAGATAATATTACCCTAAGATTATTCAATAACATAAAAACAATTATTGTTAAATGCATTATGTCAATATTGCGCTTGAGCCAGAGAGATAACAAAACAGTGCGTCGACAATGTTGACATCCTCCTAAGAGGACGACACACAAACGTACAACATTGTAAATTGTACGTTCACAATAATAAATACCTAACCTATACTACGATGATTATTGATTAGTAATTACGTAGGCTGATTATTACTACTTATATACGTTTGTATCGCAATAAAATTATTATGATCTAATATATAATAAGTTCGGTTCTGGTGATAGAATTCTTCAGACGATTAATTTCTTTCTATAGCATCTTAAAAATTCCAAACTTTTGAACTATAATCGTCCATTACAGTGCAGTCGTTTTATATATAATGCATATAAACCAACTTTATAGAAATAACATATTAGTTATAGGCAGCATTGTAAAGTAGTATTTGAATAAGTACCTATATCGAATCCTATTGCAAATAGGTTTCTACTAATCTTAAATTATTAAATACAATTTTAAATAGGAATATAGAGCATTACAATGTATAACGTTTTAAATTTGAATGAAAACTATATGGGCCAGTTGTACCGTCTCTGATTAAAGTTAACCGGAGTTTAATCGGCCGAATTTGCACGGTTAAATATCTGTTATCAGCTGATTAAGCGTAATCGAAGTTTAACCGTACAACTGGCCCTAAGGGTCTCAAATAGGTATATAGTTTTATGTGAGAAAAATTAGTTGTAAGAGGTGTAAATAATGTAAAGTAACTCTGTGATGAAATGTGTATACCTACCTAGTACCTATATATAGGTAAAGGAGTACTGAGGGCATAGACGCAACTAGAGGCCAAACACYGGGGGTGCTAAAATTATAATTTCTATAACCAATCTTAAATGCACTGTAAAAACATAAGCACACTAATATTTAAGTAGGTATCTAAACAGTTGTAGTATACCTCATAAATAAATTAGGTATACTACCTATATATTCATATACCTAATAACCTAGAATAAACAGATAAAAATGTCAATGTTACATAACTAATATTTGATACAACCATATTATATAAGATATAACTATATAATCATCATAAATAATTTGTGTTTCCACCAAAAACRCCAAATAAAAAACAATCTTACGTATAACAAAGAAAACTTTTTTTCATATGATTTTTCCATTTTTGGTATTTTTGATCTGGGGGTGCTAAATTAACGGCTGGGGGTGCTTCAACACCCCTCTAATTGCGCCTATATGACTGAGGGTATTATACATGGTAGAAAAATTAATTAAGGCTGGTCGTCGACGCCATAATATATATCGTCGGGTTCGAAAGCCGAAAAAAGATGTACAATATAATTTGTGACAGTAATGACTCAATAAAATAACATTGTGAAGTATTAAATATTATTATAGCGTATTAGTGATTTTTGCTTAAGGTAGTGCTACTCTTTCTGTTGCTACTGCTACTGAAAATAAATCACAGTTTACCATCTCTACGGCGCATCAGCATCATAATACATAATCGTTTCAATTATTGTTGTCTTTGTGCAGTAGTGAATTGATAGCCATTATATTATTACGTGGTATAATAACGCGATAATACGAATGTTATGTTTTTTTTTCACCACCGATGGTCACACAAGTCATTGATCATAATCGAATAATAATAATAAAAAAAAACCCATAAAATCACTCAAAACAATGCGAGTGATATTTGCATGTCAACACCGTATTATTAATATAACCGGCAATTAATTTATTAAAATATCGTAACCAAAAATAACACGCCCAGCCGGTGACAAAACCCTWWTAGAGGTAGCTAGGTATATCGAATTCGACAGATAATAATATGTGACGTTTCGAAACCGAAGTAATTTAATATTTTAAAGCTTCGTTCAAAATAAGCTCATATTAAATTGATACGCATCATTCGACACACGCACAGAATAATATTATCACAATGTTGCGGTGATGTTTCAAAACGATTCGTCATCTTGGCGCYGCGGAAATGCGAATAGCAGAATAACGACGATCGGTATATTATTTATTGTTATTAATTATTATTATTACCTACCTATTATTTTCCGGACGATTTTCAATTCGATTTGCAACCATTCGCCGTTTTCACTATMGTCTGGTGCACGAAGTCCCGGCGGATCATATTATAATAATTAACGTTATCATTCTGTTTATGACGTCTAACAATCAGTACCTACTAACTCCGCATATAGCAACACGCATTAACTTGATTATTTCATTGCAGTTCGATCCCAAATACTCAAAGTGTGACAGATATAGGATTGACTTTTGGAACAACTTTTGTACAAATTAATATTATTATTTTTTTTTTTTGTTCATCAAGTGACCCTAGCGTTACACGKATAAAACATTTTCTTTATGTTTATTTTTCAGTACTGAAAATAAAACTAATTTAATCTAATAAAAAATGTTTTGTATGCATTCAAAATAGCCCATTATTTGTAAATCTGATTGTAAGAAAAATATGTTGATGACAAAAAATAATTATCTAAGACGAGAAGTTATTTTTAGAATTTTTTTAAAATGCAATATTTTTTTGCTAAAATTAATTTGGAATGTAATGACTTTAAAAAAAATATGATTTTTAAGAATTTGCTGACATAGTGACATGAGTATATTTTATAGTAGGTTAGGTTAGTTTATTTACTTATCATATAATATTAACAATTTTTGTCATACGTTTAATTAGCATAATTTTTTTTGTAAGGTCTTTATCGGTTACACCGTGTATATAGCCCTGCACGATGATGGTGTTGCGTTGAATCATTTTTGTATTTTTCAATTTCAGATTGACCTCCGGAAGTCCGGACGTGATGGTGGTATCTATTGGCTGCAGAGAAGGTGTGATAGTTTTTCTGTTATCCACGAACTCGTACACAAATTTTATTGGATAAGTATTAAATACGTCTTTAATACGTATTTAATACGTTAGTACAATCATTGGTTTTAGAATAAATCAAAAAAGCTCTGACATCAATGGCACAATAG